CCTGGGAAGGAAATCAGTGCCTTGCTCAGAGTGCTCTGGGGGTCCAAGGAAGCAGAAAATCTGAAATCTGAGACCCTTTTTCTCCAGTTCCTCCATGGTTTGCAGTCCCCAAGCCAAGGCTTCCCTTAATCCAATTAAAACGGACTTGTTTATGCTTATCGGCTCTTTATTTGGTTTGTTAGAAACGTGCAAATTACCCAGAAGCCTCTTTGTCCCCTGAACCAAAAGGCATCAATAAAACTATTAAGTTAAATCCAATTAAATGCAACTGCTGGAACTTGAGTGTGGCAGAGCAGAACAGAAATGAGGGAGGGGAGGGCGGGATTTCACTGGGAGAGAAGGACTCTTCTTGGCTTCCTGGCTTTAGTGTGGCTCCTCTCAAGCATCCCCTGAATGTGGGCAGGACAAGGGCAGAAGGTGCCACCACTTACTCTGAGCCTGAGTGTGGACTTATAGCGGATTATTGAATTATCCCAGTAACTCTGCAGAGTGGCCCCGATGAACCCATTTTGTAGATGAAGGAACTGAGGTTTAGGGAGGCATTGTCCAGAACGTCACACAGCTGGGAAGCGGCAGAGCCAGGACTGAAACCCTGATCGGTCTAAACCCTCTGCCTGAAATCTTGGAAAACCAGAGCTTTTGGGTCCTTAGAGGCAGTCCTGCCAAGAGCAAGTCTTTGCAAACCCACAGACCTGAGTCTCCGCACCCGGAAAAGGTGCATAACCATGCTGGCCCACCAACCAGGGCTTGGAGAGGGGTCTGTGAAATGTTGTGTGTCTTAAGTGCCTGGCACATAGTAGGTACTTGGTATATGCTAACTTCTGATCTCCGCACTCTTGTCAAAGCTCATCTCCTGCTTCTCAGAAGGGAAGGCTGAGACCCAGAAAGGGGACAGGACCTCAAGGTTACACCAGAGACCCTGTAACAGAGCTGGAACTCAAACACAAGTCTCCGGCCCCCTGATTTGGCTTCTCATTTCAGAACCTGAGCTGCCTCTCCATTTTGCAGATGAAAAAACTGAGGCACATAGAGTAGCGGCCACGCAGCGGCCAAAGTCACCCAGTTGGGGGCTGAGCACAGGAGCTCCACAACCACCATGTCCTGGACTCGGGTCTTGGCACCACCATTCTGTAGCACTGCTTGGGCACATACCTTGACCTCTTTGAGCACCTGGCTCCTCCTCTTTAAAAGTGGGTCTCATTACGCCATCCCAATGAACATCTGGGGTGGTGTGAGGCCAGCAGGTGATGTGAGAGCCCCATGTAAGCCAGAACAACTACCTGGAGACAGCACAGCACATTTGAGGAATGGCTGGAGCATATGTTCCCTTTCCTGTAGCCTGCAAAGGGCCAGCGTGGGTTCCTCATTCCTGGCAACCCTCAGACCCAGGAGACACAGACTTCTCAAGAAGGGAGGGCAGATGCCCAGGATTCCAGGCAATGCTAATCCTATTACAGATGCATTATGAACCTTAGGGGATCCAACGAAGCACCACCCTCCCCATGGAGCTTTTCCAATCCTGTTGCTGGCCCATCCCCAGCTTCTTAGAAGTCTAAGCAATTTGATACAAGTGAGCAGAAACATGATGTGCAACTATGCACAGGAGCCACTCACAGCCGTGCCAACACCCCACCGGGATGCCATGATGCAGCCTTGAGGTGAGAAGATAAGCAGTTTGACGTCAAGACAAAAGTGGCTCCCACGCCCACCGCCACCGCAGCTCCCAGCTGGCATACCTTGGGCCAGTGACTCACCTCTTTGAGCCTCCACGTCCCCATCTGGAAAGTGTGGAATCCTCATCAGTAATCATTAAAGGATGGTTAATAATCATCTTAATAGTATCATTCTGACTTTTTCATTCCAATGTTTAAGCCCCAAAGCCTGTTGGAAGCAGCACAAGAGTAGAGAAAGAATGGTAATGGGTGGCTTTTCTGGATATTATGAGGAAGCTGTTCTTGTTAGTGTTCTGATATGGCTGGCTGGCCCCGAGAGCTGGGGAGGAGGGCAGGCTCTGCTACAGAAGAGGAACTACAAGGATGGGGGGGGGGGTACTCAAGTCAGACCACTGTCTCGAGGGCAGATTTTTCCAATTCCTTTTATTCTCCTTTAACACACAAAAGCAGTGCCTGGAAGGCCAGCTCCTGGATCCTTCCCAGTACAACTCTGAGCAGCAGACCCCCTTCCCAGTACAACTCTGAGGCTTACCACCGGACAATGGGAAAGCACAATGCAGAGGAGAAGAAAAGCTGCTGCTTCTCCAGAACCAGGATTTGTAGAAAGGGGAGAAGGATTCTGGAGAGAGGCCTTTGCTTGGCATTCCCTCTAGCAGCTGTTCTCCTGGTACATGGAGGATGCCTCATCCTCATCCCAGCCGGGAGGAAGGCAGAGCCGGGGCATGGGCCGGGTGTGGGGGGGTGTAGTTTGCATGAGAGGGGCGCCCAAGGGGAAACTAGTCAGCCATGCTCAGAGCCAGATCCTCATTCCACGGGTTTCCACTTGCCTGTGCAGAATATCTCTCTGCACTAGGAGGCAGAGGGCCCCGGTGAATTCTAGGGGCTCCAGGCTCCAGGGAGATCATACCAAACCCTGCCCATGTGCCCCAGCTACCCCAGGAGAAAAGCAGGGGAGGGCAGCACCTGGGAGAGAATGAGTATGTTTATCTAAGAGTGTCTTAGCTTAGGAACCTGTAAAACCGACATTTGAACTAAAATGTTAAAACTGGTTATATTAGTTTGCAAGGGCTGCTGTAACAAAGCATCACAAATAGGTGGGGTGGAGGGTGGGCTTAAGCAACAGGAATGTCCCATCTCACAGTTCTAGAGGCTGAGAGTCCAAGGTCCTGCGCTGGCAGAAAGGTTGGCCCCTTTCTGAGGCCCCTCTCCTTGGGATGTCCATGGCTTTCCTCTGTTGGTGTCTCTTCATATCTCCTTGTACGTGTCTGCACTCAAATATCCCCTTTCTCTAAGGACATCAGTCATACTGGGTTAGGACCCACCCTAATGACCTGATTTTAACTCAATTACATCTATAAATGTATATTTACATCTACATTTATAAAGGGTCTGTCTCCAAAGCAGGTCACATTCTGAGGTGCTGGGGGTTAGGATGTCAACACATGAATGAGGGGGGGCAATGCAACCCATAACATAGGTGAAGCTTAATTTTTTTTTGTTTTGTTTTGTTTTCTGCCAAGGTGGGGTGAGGGGTGGGAGGGTTTGGGAGAGACCTCGCAAGTCAGACTATGTGGGCTACAAAGAAATTACACTTTCTTCACATAGCCACATAGCCAGACTGTAGCAAGCATTCAGTGTGCAACCCCAATATATAATTCAGGGAGATTTGTGCAGCCTACCGAATCACTGGCCTGGATTAAGCATGGCCCCCAGAGATAACAAAGCAAATGCTGTCTTGTAGTCCCAGTAAGGGGAAAACTGGAATCGAACATTGCAACAGCGAGCTCTAACAACTTTTTAAGCACATAATATTTTCTGAGTACCGTGGTAAGCTCTTTGCATGGATTATTTTACTGAATCCTCCTGCAACCCGACAAGGCTTTTTCTATTAGACTCCCGATCTTTCAAATGGGTAAACTGGGTTTCAGAGAACAACAGTTATTTTTGCCTGATCCAACTGGCCCGATTCCAGAGCCTGCATGTGCGATCACTGCCCACTCCATCAGCCGCTCTTTCCTGAGCTGGGTGATGTCTTCTTAAAGCCTCAAGAACACTTCCCTTTGCTTTGAGGGGAGAACGGCGTACAGGGAGGGACCCAGAGGCTGAGATAGTGGGCAGCGAGCTCAGGTTAGATCTGTGGGCCACCCAGGGCTTGAGCTCTAAAGAAGCTTTTCCTGGGAGAAACCATCAGGGGATCACAAAAACAACAAAAATATTTCTGAAAAGGAAGTAACCTACATTTCCACTGATAGGGGATTGACTAAATTAACTGTGGCACTTCGGCTGGGTCTGCCTGGCAATCAATCAATATTATGTAGGGAAACATTGGATGACCTGATTTAAAAAAAAAAAAAACAACAGACAAAAATGTTATAGAACAGAATATATACACACAAATCTTTTTGCTAGATTGATATTGTCAAGATAAAAATAGACTAGACTGTAGACCATCAACTGAAAGGCTAGTAGTGATTATACGTGGGTGATCTTGGGGATCATAAATGATTTTCCTTTCATTTTTCTTTTCCTTTTGCTCATTCATATATTTTAATACTTTTTGCCAAAGATCATGCATTACTTAATATAAAGAACAGGAGGAGCTCATTACTCGCAAGGAATAAAGCATTCTGATTTTCTGAGAAAATATTTAATTTCTAAGAGCTGCCTTCCCTCCCCAACCCCCTCTGTAGTTTTAAAACACTCAGATCTGAAAATTTCTGGTTCCTCAAGACTGGAAGGCAAATGTGCAGGCTGATCAATTTACATCTCCTGTCTTCTCTGTGGGAGACGCCACTGGATGCCTGCCCCTAATCCCTTCCCCTTCTTGGGGGTAGAACATGATGGCATTTGAATGTCCTCTTCTCTCCCATGTGGTTCCTGGGTGGATCCTGATTGGTCTGAGCCATCTCCTTTGCCTGCCACTGATTGGTCCAGCAGCAGCGTGTGAACCAATTCTGGCCAAAGAGATGTGAAGTTTGCTTGCTGGCAGCTCTTGGAACATTCTGAAACCTTCTCTCCCTTCTAGGTGATGTCATGTGCATGGAAACTATCTTATGACCAAGAGAGATGCCATCCTGGGGACAAACCCTAACCTCTGAAGATAGCAGAGCAGAGAGTAGGAAACACATTGCGCCCTTGACGTTATCACTTAGCTGCTGAATTCCCAACCTACAGGTGTTCTCATCGCATGAAGAACACGCCAGACGTTTTGAGTTGAGGTTTCTGTTACTTGCAGCCAAATGCAACCTGACTGATATAATCTTATTTCTTTCAACCTTCACTTGGTTTATTTCACACAGGGAGTCTGAAAATGAATGCCAACCAGCATGGATTATTAGGACTTTTATTTGTGTTATTTGTATATACAGAAAACCAGATACACTGATTTTGTTTCTCTCCTTCTCAAGTTTACAGGAATTGATGTGTCTGAACCAAAATGTGACAAAAGACCAAGCTGTTAAAGGGCGCATATGGTCACGTGTGAGAGCAAGGAACAAAATCACTGGGCATGGGGACTACTGGGTTCTTGCCCTGGCTCACCTCCAATGGATGTGGGACTAACTTCCCTCCCCTGGGCAGGGGTTTGGCTCAACTGACTGCAAGGGCATGATCATCTGCCATATTAAGATTAAATAAGCCGTTTCCATTGATCTATCTGCATCCTTAAAGATGCCGTGGCCAGGGGATCAAGGCGACGGTTACAATCCAGGATCTAGAAAAGGTGACATTTCAGATTAAAAACCTATTGATCCTATAGTGAGTCTGGAAGGCGACCATGGAACCCCCTCCATTCCAAATTTCTTGTTCTGCCAATCTGCCCGGTTCCTGCAATTCCACCTTGAGCATGCCATTGTCTTGGGTTAAGCATTGCTGTCTCCCTGCTGGTCTTTCAAAGGAGGCAAAGAGCTGTGGGGATCAATCACTGTCCTATTTTGAGGAGTCAGGGAGGGGAGAGCAGTTGCTGACAGCTGCATCCTGGTTCCCAGAATCGATCTCAATTCCCAGCCAAGATGTGAGTTTTCTCTCTCTAATTCCCGAGAGGTTTGAGGCGTTACAACAGAAAGCCCTTCTCTCCATTCTGTACTGATTGCTCTGCACCTAGGTTCTATAACTCAAAAAGCAGCATACCTAGTGGAGGAGCATAAGAAGCCACAAGGCAACCCAGATGTGGGTTCCAATCCTAGCTCTTATACTTACTAATATGTCATAAGTTTTGTGAACATTAGGGCAGTGACTACTGATGTATCCCCAGAACCCAGCACAGTCCCTGGCACATAGCAGATGCTCAATAAAAATCAATGTGAGGCTATCAGTGTGGGTTTGGGAAATGTCTTCAACCCCTTTGAACTTCAGCATCTTTGTCTCTAAAGTGAAGATGGTTTTACCCAGCAGGTTTTTATGGAGGATGAAACAAGATGATGGATGTGACATCGCTTCTGGCTGCTTGTCACTGTGCCTGAAAGGCCATCACACATCATTCCTTCCCAATCAATTCTGGGCCATCACCGGTGCATAGCAAACTGCTTGCCATCAACTAGAAACTCACCAGCTGTTACCACCCACCAGCCACGGCTGAAACTCCACCCTTTCCCAGCTCCCCATGTGTATGTGACCTTGGTCCACAGCTCCAACATCTGGGAGCCAACCAGAAACTCATTCAGTTATCCAGATATTTGCTGTATGGGTGCCAAACATCTGCACAGTGGGAACCATGGAAAAGATAATCCTGGGGTCCACCTCTCCCAGAACTAGGCATCTGGGTTGTGGGGGTATTCGGGCATCAGGTGTCACTGGACTTTCTGCCCTTAGCATCGCCCAGTGCCCACCACAGACCTGGCACCCAGTTCCTTGCTCCCTCCAGGATTTCTAAGTGGAAAGATAAACACAGGAAGTTTGTGGTCACGGTCCTACCAGCCAAATCCTTAACAGAGTCCTGGTCCGGAAAAGAACTACAAAACAATGCAGGGGCGTGTGGTGGGTGGGGAGGCATCTGGTTCCTTTATTTTCAGGCTGCAATTAATCAGACAAAGAGGAAAGGGGAAAAAGGCCAGGGGAGATAAAAGCACTGAATGGAAACCTCCTTGGTTTGGGAGTGCTTCTGATGGTACCAGGGCAGGAGCTCCATAGTGGCTTTTCCACGTCTGAACCAAGTGAGCTGGGGCCTCAGTATCCACATCTGTTAAACGGGGGATTGTCTTCTCCCACACATTTCATCAGGATAGGAAAAAAAGTGTGAGAACACTTTGGAAACTGTGTACTGCAAATAGTGATCGTCTTTAAACTCAATGATGATGATGATGATTTGAGAAAACCAATGTTAGCTTATGGTAATTTCTCCATGTGCCCAACAAAGGATCATGAGCACCGTTCCTGGGCTGAGCACCGCTCTGGGTGCCGAGGATACAGAGGGGCACCAGACAGACAAGGGCTCCTCCACCCTGATGGAGCTCCCGGCCCCACAGAGGGACAGACTTAAGGCAGCTAACACAAATACATAAACGTCCAGATGGCAGGAAGTAGTGTAATGGATGGAAAAGGGGGTCTGGTAGTGAATAGGGATGGGGCTGCTTTACCTGCAGGGAGGGCTCAGGAAAGGGCTCACTCAGGAGAAGCTGGGACCTGAAGGAGGAGGGGGATCCGGCCATGCCATCAGCAGTCTGGGAACAGCCAATGCAAAGGCAGGGCGGGATGCCTGGGTCGGGAGCAGTAGATGCTGAGGATGGAGGAGGCAGTGCCGAGCCTCTAGGGCTTTGTAAGCCCCTGTTAAGGGGTTTGGCTTGCTGTGCTCTGTGATGGAAGCTCACTCTGGCTGCTTCATGGAGCGTGGGTCATGGGGAGTGAGGCTAGAAGCGTGGAGACCAGTGGGGAGGCTGATGTACTTCCATATGAAAGTGGGTGATGTATGCGAGCCCTACACCTGCTAAGTGCTTATGTGCAACATCTCACTGAATCCTCATGACAGCCTTGTGAGCTCCAGATTCTTCTTATACCCATCTTACAGATGAGAAAATGGAAGCTTTGGAGATGTTGAGCTTCTTGTCCAAGTCATAAGGCATTAACCCTAGCTGATGTAAGTGGTGGAGCTGGGATCCAAGCCTGAGCATTCTGACACCTGAGCCCACGTGACCCTGTGTCATAGCCATCAAAAGCCCGTTGAGTCAGGCGACAGGGCTGGGGTGACCCCTGGGAGTCCTTCCTGAGGTGCTGCCTTTCTACTTCCCTCTGAGTTGTTCTCTTGAATCAGATTGAAGCCCCCAGACTTGATTCTGTCCAGACCACCAAAGGAGGTGGGGAGCCACTCCTGCAGACACTGTGAGCTAATTCATGAATTTTAAATTTTATTTAAGAATTTACTTTTCAAAATACTTTTATTAAGGCATAACTTACTGCAGTAAAGTGCAGTAATCATATATGTATAGACAAATGAGGTTTGATGTATAAAGATAGCCACATCACAACCACTACCACCTAGATCCAGATAGCATTGTCACCCATCTGTAGGACGACTGTGAGGGATAACATTTATGCCCCAAACATGGCATGTCTCTGCCTTGTACCAGGGTTTTCCAAGGCCTCCTGCCTTCCCTTTACAGGATCCTGCTGGAAATGCCCCCAGTGCCCCTCAGATCCTGGGCAGGGGTAGTTTCAGGGTAGATTAGCACCAAACTATGAAAAGAGTAGCTCAGTGAATGCCCAGGTCTCTAGAATAGTGGGTGGTATGGGATCTCGCATCCCAGCAGTGAGTGAGCTGGGAGGTTCTGCTCCGATCTGCAAAGAGCCTCAGTTTCACCATCTGTAAATGGCGGGAGGGTGGGGGATGAGAAGGGATGTGGCTTTTAAGATTCCCGGGGCTGTGAGGAAATGACAAGCCCATCCAGACACCATTTCCTTCCTCCGAGAGGAAAAAGCAATCCGTCAAATCCCCCCACTCCCACCTCCTTAAGATCTAACACTGGATGGGGAGCATATGCTTGCCTTCCTCTCTCCAGGGAGGGATCTCATTAGAGGATAGTTTGTGTTTGCAAGTTGCTTTCGAGTCAAACACACTTGGGTTTGAATCCTAGCTCTGTCACTTACTAGCTGTGTGACGCCAGGAAAGACATCACACCTCTCTGAACCTTCATTTCCTCATTTGGAAGTGGGGAGAGGAACGGCTCCTACCACAAAGGTGGTCATAAGGATTCATCGAGTTAATACAACCAAAACACTTGGAAGATACCCAACCCCTGGGCATGCTCCATTAATATGACCTATTATTATTGTGAGTATTGCTTTCTTGAAGCTTTGGGCACAAAGTAAGCATCCTATACACCTGTGCTTCTTCCATCCTTTACCACCTTTTCTCTTTGCCCCCTCCTGCCGGTTGGCCAGGACTCTAGAGCAATAGCTGGCAGCCTTCCAGGGGGCAGTGGCGGGGGCGGGTGGGGTGGAAAGAGACTTCTGGAAGATCCCCAGGACAGAACTCGGGTGACCTCCAAAGTCAAACCCTAGTCCAAGCACTCAGAGTCTTGTCTGCATAAATTCCCCACAGCCACCACCCGCAAAGTGCAGCATTAATGTGCCTCTGATCTTCTTAGGTTAATATATGTATTATTTATAGGGCTTTATTATGTGCTCAGAGGACTCCCCTGAGAAATGTAATTGTGCATTGGGAGGTAAATTTGAATAATATTTACAATTAATTTCCATCAATAAAGCAATGCACCGAGGCCTTTGTGCAGCTGAAATGGCCCTGGGTTGGCTTCCCGCTAACCGCTCCCCTGAGAAAGCTTGGGTAGCCTGTAAGCATCTCTAGGATAGTCCACTTCTCTTGAGCTCTACCTCTGCTCCCACTGCACTCACCTGGAGCTGCCCCAGCCTCCTGGCTTCCCCTTCTCCCCTGCCCCAGCCTGTCCTGCCCAGAGCAGCACCCCCCCCCCGCCCCCGCATTGGGCATCATTGCAACATGCGGATCTGAGCAGGTCGCTGCCCTGCACGTGGCCTCTGCTGCCCTCCTCTTCATCCTGTCTGCTCTGTGCTCTTCCTACACCCTCTGCTGCGGCCCCAACCCCCTTCAGTCCCTCGCCATCACTGTCCCCTTCCATGCTGTTCCCACCCCCTGGAACACCCTCTCTGGCACCCCTCCCCACTGCCCACCATTGAATCAGCACCTACCTGTGCTACACATCTCAACTCAAGCGTTGCTTGCCCGAGGAGGTTTCCCTGGTCTTTGGACAGGGTCAGATCTCTCTATAATATGTGGGGCTTAGTGTAGTGGTTTCCCATCGAGGGTGTGGTTTTAAAAAAATTATTGGCTGTCTCTCCCACTAAGCAATGAATGAGCTCTTAAGGACAGAGACTGTGCATGCCCTGATCATCCTTGCATTCCCAGTGCCCACCACGGGGCCTGGCAAACAGAAGGTATTAAATAGATTTTTATGGAATAGATGAATGGGTGGATATAGAATCATTATGTAAATCGGATGGGTAGGTGGATGGTTGTTGGGTGGGTGGGTGGGTGAGTGGATGCATGTTGGTGTGAATGGGTGGATGCTATCTTGAGCCAGTTACTAACAATCTACTCCCTTCGGTTGCTAAGAAATTGAGATAAGTGAAGGGAATGCTTTTTAAAATGCAGATTCTTTGATGTCCTAAATTTGGAGAATGGTAGGGAATTTTGGGCTTCCTCCTGCTGCCTCACAACACTGCTGTGTGACTTTGGATAGCGCACTACATGTCTCTGAGCCTCACCTGCTGCTCTGTGAGGTGAATGAGGAAGGCAAGAGTGTTTTGGGGGGCAGGAACATCTGGCATGGAGCCCCACTCTTGCCTCAGTCTCTTTATTCAAAAGCAACTTTGCCCTCAAAGGGAGAAAGCAAGCAAGCCCCCTCCTGAGTTATTTCATGGTTGGATAAGTGGCTTCGTGGTTCCCCCTGGTCCTGGGTACCACCCGCAGCAGCAATTTTCCAAATCCAGGGTTTGGCAGCCACAGGACCAGGGCACCCTGGCTCCAGCCAGAGCACAGCATACCAGGGAGGAACAGGAGAGGGAAGGGCTGGGGAATCAGGGGCCACCTCCATCCAAGCAAATACCAACTCTGTTTGCAGCAAAGGGCAGCTCTCGGTTCCCTCATCTGTGGAAGGGAAAGGCCCTCATGGCTCTCACTGTTGGATTCCCTCCTCTCCACCCAGCCTGGTCCCTGTGCCCTCCAGAGCTGACTTCAGGGGTAGGTTTAAGCCAGACTCTTTCCTCTGACTTCAGCCAACACCACATCCAGGTCACTGTCCCCTCCTGAGACCCTCCTCCATCCTTTTGCTCCCTCTCCCCCCCATCCCATCCCTTTCTCTCTCCTTCCTCCCACAGGCTGAAGAAGCAGGGAGCTCAGGCAGCTGCACGGGTTCAAAGCCCGGCTCTGCCGTTTACTAGCTGTGTGACCCTGAACAGGTGGGGTCTGCAATCCCAGCCTCCCTTTCTGCATCACCCATGTGGCTCTGCTGGTCCTCTTCTCATTTTGGGGTCTGATGAGATTGTGAGCACCTGACACACAGTAGATGCTTAATAAATGCCAGACTCTTTTGCTTTCTCTCTATTCTGCATTTCCTCTGTGCTTCCTGCTCTCCGGCCTCCCAAACACCACCTTCACTTCTTGTCTTTATGCCTGCTTCCCCGTGAGCCCTCAGTGCCCCCCCCCACCCAGGAAGCAGCACTGACACCCCATTGGCCTGGTCCTGGCCCCAAAGGGGGCCTCTCAGGCACAAAACACGTTGGCTGCCTGTGGAGTGAACCACAGGACTTTTGTATGAATGACCTGTGAGATCCTTGGAAGAAGCTGCAGGGAAAAGATTCAGGAGGATATCATGGTTGCATTTAAGTATTTAATGGGAAACTCCTGGTGGGGCAGCCAGAAAGAGGCCTGACCCCAAGGAGGAAACAGCTGGTTTGGATTTCACTCCTGTTCATCAACTTCTCCAACGACAAAATGATTTCCTGGCTCCGGGACCTGGCCTGGCCTGCACGCAGCCCAGGAGGAGTGGGGGACCCAGCCAGAGCAAGTAGCACCCGGGGGATCAGAGCCTGAGTGGCTGATGACCGTCTCTGGGGCCTGGAACCTGTCCTACACTGTCTTGTGCCTTACTTGCTTTACCTGTGAAGTTGGGGAGGGGGTGACAAGGGGCACCGGGCAATATTTCAAGCTCCCTTTTTGCTCTCAGATGGTCCAAGCTCAGATTTCTTAAAGCCATTGGTCGCCCTTCTTGGGGTTAATTCAGAGCTGCCTCATCATAAGCACAATGACCCAAGGAGGGAAGGAACAGTCTGTCTCTTAATGAGGTGTGATTACCAAACAGCTCACGGCCTTGGGAAGTTGTCCAGAGCTGTGTAGACATTACATCTGTTCGTTGCATCTTGTCAGGGAATCAGCTTCACAACAGCAGCACTTGGAAGGGAAGAGGATGTGGACACTCGGAGGCTACACGGCCTCGGGCCCACCAGTGACTGCCTCCGGCCTGGCTGCTTTACCCCCACTGCCTTCCCTGGAGCTCTCAGGGGGTTCAGGAGATGGAGACCCTGGTGGGCACATGTGGAGGGATGTCGGGGAACTAGAGGCCAAGTGTGCTTTCTTTGCCATGTTGGGTCATTTTGGAAAACCATTAGCAAAACTGGATTATAAGTCATGAAGATATTTATAAGAATCTGCTGAGGAATCAATATTTATGGTCAAACCCCCAAGCTTCTCTTCAGACCCTGATTCTGTAGCCTTATTCGAGCCAGACAGACCTCGTTTCAAATCCAGGTTCTGGCAGAGATCAGCTGGACGCCCTCAGGGAAGTAACTCAACCTCTCTGAGCTTCAGCTATACCTCATATGTAAAAAGGAAGTAATAACTGTACCTAACTCAGGGCTGCCGGGAGGAATAAATGAGATAACGCATCAAAGTGTTTAGCATAGGGGGTGCTAAATAAATGTAAGCTATCATGACATTCTAGAATATTCTCAATAGATACATTTGCCATTAAAAAAAAAACAACAGCAAAAAAGGTTCTGGAGCCAGACAGAGCTGGGTTCACATGTTAACTCTGCTTCTACTGCGAGTCTCTGAGTGAGTTACTTACTTCCCATCCTCCCCCCCTCCAACTGACCCTCAGCTTTGTCATTTGTATATGGGACAGTGACACCCTGGCATAGGAGGGTATTGGTCCTAGTTGAGAAAAGGCAACAGGGCTGCACCAGGAGAGGCTCCACGCCTGCAGCACCCCACGGCCTGCATCTCAGGGGCACAGCACAAGGCGTCAGTCTCCAGGCCCTGCTGAGTTCAGAGACTGAGCACTGGGACACGCTCTTCAACCTGCGTGGAACTCCCAGGTTGATTCCCGAAGCTGGTTTGAGCAAGGCTTTGAGGAAGCTGAGGAGCAAGAGAGGCCCTCCTTCTCTGGGCCTCCGCCCTGGAGAGTTTTATTCTGAGCACTTGTAGCCAGAGTCAGCGGACCAGGGAAGGGACAGTCCCCATGATGGGGTGGAAGCTACAGGTGTTGCTGACCGCTGTGACCCAGCCCTGAGGCGACAAATGCCAGATGAGAGCAGGGCTAGCGGGGAGGGGCTGGCACCACCCCGATCCCCGAAATAGCTGTGTCCCAAAGCACCATGACCCTGGGAAGTTCTAAGGTGAGCACCTGCATGCTGCCTCCTTTGAGGGCCTTAGTCCTCTCCCTCCTCTGCTTCCCCAGGCCCCAAGTCCTTATGGTGGCCCCACGTGTCTTGCCTTCATGGAGAGCCCACAAGGCCTCTCAGGACCTGTTCTCTGTGTTCCCAGCTGATCTGAAAGCCAAATCCATGGTTCTGGCCATGCACGAGCTCGTATGTCCCTTTCCCCTCCCTCCCTGGTAACCTGTGCATCTTCACTTTCCCGACCAGAGCAATGGTGTAGGTGGTGGGATTTCTGGCTGGTTGGTGATAGAGGCAAATGGGCTGAGGTGTGATTGGCATCACATAGAGTCTGCTCTGACCTCCCCTTGCTCCTACCAGGAGAAGACACCCTGCAGAGTGTTTGACATTCCAGGGGAGCACACAGTAGGTAGCTTTATCCCTCTGTCTTATTCTCATCCCAGTTCATGGCAGTGACTTTGAGAATTCTCCTGTTTTTGCTTTGTGTTGGCCAAGGCTGGTCTCCTGAGAAGAATGGGATGCTGGTGTAAGTTGGAGAGCGTCATGGCATACCCTGTCCACCTTGCCTCTTGAAGAAAGGAGTTCGAAGCCCTGGACTCCCAGCTCAAAACACTGGTCAGCCCCCTGCAGACTACAGTGGGCATGGGTGGATATTGAAGATGTTTCTGCCCTGGTCTTAAGAAGCCAGAGCTTTGGGCCTTCAAGGCTGGAATGTCTGTCCATCGGGGGTTCCCAGCAGAGCTTCAAAGCATGCTGGTCTCCCTGTCATTCATCGATGACATCTTGGTAAAGCTCCTGTGGCTGGGGTAGGAGGAGTGGACCGTGTCCTCGCTCAGAGCATTGACCAAGCGGGAGAAGAGGGCCACCTTGAACTTCTTGAAGTCCTGGCCCATGAAGACATAGAGAATGGGGTTCATGCAGCTGTTGGCAATGGCAATGGCCGTGGCCAGGGGCAAACCCAGGCTGAAGACAGAGCCGGGCATGGCGGCATGGTGTAGCTCCAGCAGGTAGAGCATGTGGTAGGGGCACCAGCAGAGGAAGAAGGTGGTTATGATGGTCACGATGACCTTGAAGGGTTTCCTGGTCTTGGCCAGGCGGTTGCGCCGCAGCTTGCAGACGATGGTGAAGTAGCAGGCTGTGATGATGAGCACGGGGACCAGGAAGCCACAGAGGAAGCGGGTGACGGTCACCACCATGTGCCGGCTGAAGCCCACGGGGTCCAGGCGGGAGTGGGCAGGCCACGGCGCGGAGCCGGACGCAGACAGGCTGAAGTTGTTAAAGCAGGATATTTTCTCATGCACGAGGGCTGTGTCCCGGAAGATGAGGGATGGGGAGCTCAGGAAGAAAGCCAGGACCCAGATAAGCGCGCAGGCCACGGAGGCCAGCCGCACGCTGCGGTGGTTCTGGGACCAGACGGGGAGGAGCACGGAGATGCAGCGGTCGAAGCTGATGGCGGTCAGCAGGAAGACGCTGGTGTACATGTTGTGGATGAGCAGGAAGTTGCTGATCTTGCACATGGCCGTCCCAAAAACCCAGTGGTAGTCCATGGCGGCGTAGGCGATGTGGATTGGGAGGAAGATGTTGAACAGGAAGTCCGCCACAGCCAGGTTGAGGAACCAGACTGCGTTCACCGTCTTCTTCATCTTGAAGGTAGCGATGACAATCACCAGCCCATTGCCCAGGATCCCGAGGAAGCAGACGATGCTGTAGACCACCACCAGGAAGATCCTGGCCACCTTGCCTTCCAGGGGAGAAGACTCATCCAAAACCATGATGGGGTCAAAATCATCCAAGTACTCATCATCGTAGGTGAGGGAGGTGTTGTAATCCTCGTCCCCCATTCTCTGCGAGGGGAGACAGGGGTCAGTAGGGGGACCGTGACTGGAACTGGCTCCAAGAGCTTGGCCAACACCAGCCGGGTTGACATCTGCTCTGCCTGACTCTGAGCAAGGCCGGTTCAGTATCCTGACAGCTTAACTACTTACTTAACTACAAACCCCATTTTACAGATGGGGAAGCTGAGGTCTGGAGAGCCAGTTACTTGCCCAAGGTTATACAGTGGGCAAGAGGTGGAGCCAGGAGCCACACCCTTGCTTCAGAGTCTCTCCTCCTGAAAACCCTGTTTGCTGCCTGTCTGGGGCCCCCCTACTAACCTCCCCTCTCTGCTAATGCCCCCACTCTAGCGAGGGAGACAAGCATTTGTCAGATTCCTCAAATCATGGTAACATCACAATGATGCTCGGTGTCATGAAAGAGGGGTACATAGTGCTGGGAACTTGGTTCCGGGCATGTTTCCCAAACCCAGGAAGTGGCCATGCTGGCATTCTCTGATGCCCCCACCTCATCATGGGTCCCACATTGGTGCCCTTTGGAGGCATTTGTTCAGCCCGCAAAAGCCCCTCACCGTTCACTGTTAGGGTGTCCGAGGCTCTCCGATGGGGGTCCTTGGCCAGTCAGTGCCTGGGCTCAGCTAGAAACACCTGCAGGAAAGGATGAAGAGGCAGCGGTTGGATCCAGGTCTGAGTCAGCAGGCGGGTGGACTCAGAGCGAAAGAGAAGATCTGTGGTCGTCACCCCTGATTTACAGAGTTGAGGAAGCAGAGGTTCAGAAAGGCTAAGTGATGCCCAAGGGTGGAGGCTGGGAAGTGGTGGAGCCCCTCGAACCCAGATGAACTGCCAGGCCCTTCGTCCCCAGCCCCACCCCAGCACACCCACAGATGGGGGCCTGAGTCACGGGCGGGTGCCGGGGAAGGCACAGGGCAGAGTGTGCAGATGGCTCAATGCAAGTCTGCTGCCAGGGCAGACCCAGAATACACCATTCCAGTTGCCTGGAAGACAGAAGAGGAACAGCCCTGAATACCCACTATGTGCCAAGAACTATATAATTCCTTTATTTTGTCTTCCCAGGTCTCTTTGAGGCAGGTGTGGTGCCTCTTGCTTTGGATCTGGGGAACGGAGACCCAGAGAGAGAAGCGTCCTTCTCACTGGGTGTTCCCTGAGCCCCCTGGATCACACACAGACCCGCTGTCACAACAGTCTGGGGAGGAGACAGACATGAACACATTCGCTAACCACCTACCATGTGCCAGACAACTTAAGTGGCACTTTGGCCAATTCCCATAACAACTCTGTTGGGGATTTTCCCAATCTAAGGAAGAACAAGCTGAGATTCAGGGGAGTCATCAAGCTTGGGACGTCTTGGAGGCGGGCTCATAGGCACGGTTCAAACCCAAGCACTGGGAAATCGGTTCGGTGCTGGCACACAGTAAACCCTCAAAGAATATTAATGATTCCATTAGGGCTCCGGGGGTAAACCACTGAATTCCAAGCCGGGATTTGAACCCAGGGCTCTGGGTTCCAACCCATGCACCTTCCACCAGCCAAGTTCTTCCTATCCTGACACATGGGCTCCAAACCGGCCAGACTGCCAATCGATGCTTCGTTATAGATAACTCCAACCTTCCACCATGTGCATGGATTGCTGATCCTTTAATGGGTTCAAGGTTGTATTTTATTTCAGAGAAGTCATCTTTCGCTTTTATTAAATAAAAGCCACTTGGACAATCCCCTTGAGAATCGTGGGTTCAAGGGACTCAGAATTCAAGTATCACCCCACTTGGGTGTCCTCCTCTGCAGGCTGGGGGGATATTCTAGAGGTGCCCAGTGAGGGGTCCCCCAGGGATTCCTGTGGCCCTGGAATGCAGAGGGAAGGTGGGAACCGTGTGTGTCTCCCGCCCTCGTCCGTGACTGGGGGCAATGTGACTGGTGTTCGTGACAACACCTGCCAGGGACTGTGCCCAGCGTTTACCATAGCCGGCCTTGCCCTGAGGGGGGCCAGTGAGGCCGAAGGTGATGAAGACTCTGGGCAGGGGGAAGGCAGTCAGAATGTGAACTAGGTCTGCAGAACCAGGGCTCTCACCATCGCCTTATGCTGCCCCCCAAATCACGGTCTGATGAATGCCACCAAGTGTGTCCTTGAGGATGAAATGACTGTGTCCACACTCCCTGTGCCGGGCTGTGCAGGCCCCAGGGGCGAGAAAATGGCTTCCCTGGGGTCCCATCCCACAGGGGCTCATGGCCAGTCACAAGGCACCAGACAGAGGCGCTCTGGGGCTGGTGCTAGGCCAGGAAGCCTGAAGACCCCTGGAGGGGGGCGTTCCCCAGCCTGGGCATTGGTCCTATGCTGCTTGGGGCAGGCGGAGTCTGAGCTGAGTTTTAAAGGACAGCCCTGAAATGTGTGGGAGATATCAGAAAGGGAGACAGAACATAAAGACTTCTAACTCTGGGAAATGAACTAGGGGTGGTGGAGGGGGAGGAGGGCGGGGGGTGGGGGTGAATGGGTGACGGGCACTGAGGGGGGCACTTGACGGGATGAGCACTGGGTGTTATTCTGTATATTGGTAAATTAAACACCAATAAAAATTAATTTATAAAATAAAAAAAAATAAAGGACAGCCCTGAGCTCAGAGGCTGAGGGGACATGCCAGGCTGCTCCCCGCCCCGAGCATGCCTCCCTCATTGGCAGTGGGGGGCGGGGGAGCCCCAAGAGGAGGGTGAAGAGGAGTGGGGATCCAGTGCTTTGCACAGCATCTACAGAGATGCCCTGGACGCAGATAACGTCATGTCTGGCTCTCTGGCGGGGCTGGGAGCAGCTCGGGGTCACAGGCCATGTCTCCTCATCTTGGAGCAGGGATGGGGCTTGGCAGGCTGAGGTGGTACAGGGTGGTGCTGACATCCTCTGGGCATGTCCATCCATCCACCCCCTCAGCCTGCTAGGAATTGGGTGAGTCAGTGTCCCCGGTTGATGTGTGCCCTCGCCCCGAACCCTTCGGCCCTCCCAGGAGAGTGTTTCAACACAGGCCTGCCCTCCGCCTGTCCCAACACACATCCCCCTGCCCTGAGCCTGTTTCTGCGCAGCCTGGGCATACAGGGGAGTGGTCAAGGACATAGACTCAGGAGCCCTGCCAAGCTGCCAGCTCCCAAAGCCTGGGTCTGCATGAACCTCCTGTGACCTCGTGCAAGACCGTTAGCTTCACTGCACCTTAGTTGTCCTATCTCTAAAATGGGTCTGATGGTCACAGTTTCTAATTCATAGAATGGCTGTGAGGCTTGAATATCCCATGTAAAGTTCTTAGAACAGGGAAGTCACTATGCTGTGACAGTTGCTGCTGTGTCCCAGGATTCCACCCTTAAGTGTCTCCTAAAATGGCCTTTACCTGGGATGGTAGGAGGGGCCGGGAAGGCTGCAGGACCACTGTGGTCCTGCCCACCTGTCTCCCCATTTCTGGGCTCAAGGGCGGATCAAGGGCAACACAAGCCAGGATTTTGCTTCTCTAAGCTCCAATCTCTTGGTCTCTCAAATAAAAGTAAGAAAGCCTCCCTCATATTGTTGGGTCAGGTGAGGCGACCGTGAACCCTTGGCCAATTGTAAACTATAAAGAGCTATAAAATTCTAGTTATTTGTATTTCTTAAACAAATACTCAGGAGGCATCTGAAGACAGTGCATGCAACCATAGCTCCTGATCCATCGTAGGCATATACCAACATGCCAACGTCACTTGAGCCCTCGGTACATGACAAACACTGCTCTGCCAGGCTCCATGCGATGCTCCCAACAGCCCTGAGGGGGTGACTCTAACTTGCAGGTGCAAAAATGGAGGTTCAGAGAGGTGAGCAACCTGCCCAAGGCCACACAGCTGGGAAATCAGATCTCCAGGGAACCCCAGTGAGCAGTGTCTGGGGCTCCCCCTGCCTCCCTGAGGGATTAGCAGTCCCCAGTCCTGCCACTCACCCCTCGGAGCTCTCTAAGCCTTAGCTTTGAATCCAGAGGGCTCAGATCCCCATCACATTTTTTATTCTCCTCTGGAGCTGCCTTCCCCGGAGCTACCTTGCCAGGTTTCCCTTCACTTTTCCTTCAAGGTGTCTGGAAGGGGCTCCACTTGAGAATCACACTTGCAATGCCATGTGTATCTTGGTCTGTGACCCACTACCCACCCACTGCCCACCGCCTCTCTTGGGTGCCCTTTCTGAAGCCCCCTGCTCAGTGAGAAATGCCCAGGAGAATTTAGGGTAAAGAACATTGCTTCCCCTGAGGAACTGGGATGTTTCCTCATTCCTAATAATCCATATTCTACAACTGATCACATTTCCCTTTTCGATGTGGCCACAGGGAAGCTCAGAATCATATTTGCAGGTCAAAAGCAGCAGCCACATTAATGCTACTGGTCCTCAACCTTCTGAATTGGTTTTGGTTTCTTCTTATGTCTATATCCAGCTATTCTTTCTATTGCTTTTAGATCCTGGTGATAAATAATCATTGATTGGGTGCACACAATAGCCTGAACACTGTATAAATGCTTTCATTGCATTAGCTCATACATCCCCAGGAAGCCCCGGGAGTCGTTCTGCTGTCACTCCCAACATAAAGGTGAGGAAGTGAGGCTTTTGTCACCCAGTTGGAAAGTGGCCAATTCACACCAGGATGATCAGACTTTGAGCCCTGCCCCTAACCACTTGGCTTTCCAGAAGAGGGAGCACCTCTTTCCACATCTGTTCCACCCCTCCTTGTGCCTTAGGGCATCCAGCTCCATCTTCTGAGGCACCTCCTCATTGCTCCCCTTTCCCTAGCCCCCCAAGGAATCCACATTCCTCAGTCTCAGGACATCTGGTGGAGGTCCAGGGCACATCATTCCTCATAGCCTAGGCAGGCACTTGAGCCTGTGGCCAGCTCCCCCTTTCCACCCTCAGCTCCCCAGAGAGCCCAGGGAGCAAACGAGCTGCTCTGGCTCGCTCCCACATTCAGCCTGTGAGCCTGAACGTACATGCATTTGGAATTGGACCTTGAACTGGGCTGCTCTGAGGCCCCTGGGACAGACTCTCAAGGCCACTGTCCCGAGACATGTACAGGACATGTACGAAGAAAAGGATGGCTTTCTTTTTTTTTTGTTTGTTTTGTTTTTTCTGTTTTTGGCCTTAGCTCACCTCCTCCCAGCAGCCCTGAGAAGCAGGCAGGGCAAGTGTTATCATCATCCCCATTTTGCAGGTTATGAAACAGAGGCCCAGAGAGGAGAAGCAACTTGTTCAGGTGTGATCTTGGACCTTCCGGCCTCCAGATCAGTGAGAATGACTGTTGTTCGGCCTGGTAGCCTCTGGCATTCTGCTACAGTAGCAGCCTGGACCGGGCCGAGCCCTCTCTAGGGCTCCACTGCGATCCCAGTGTAGTGGGGCGGGCCTGAGGACCAATGCTGGGGCTGATGCGACGGTTGAGTAGGTGGAGTGTGTTCCGGTGCTTGGGCACTGCCTGGGGCGCAGAAGCTCCCCACTAGTAACTAACAGAGCACCTCCCATGTGTTGGACAGTGGGCCGCACACTTCACGCACACCTCACCTACCCCCTACGACAGTCCTGCAGGGGCTGAGACATGATTATACCCATTTACAGATGGGGACACTGAGGCACAGGGAGGCAAAATAAAGTCTGT